TAAAAGAATCACTCTCACGAGTGGATTCATTTATTGATTATTATAATCAAATTGTTGAACATCAAATTGTAGGAAATAGAGACCACAATTGGAGGGATGATATCCAGCATCTACGATGGTTGGTAATTATCCGAGCCCAGTTAAAATATCAACAGAAACAGCTTTTCTCTCAAGCTTTCTAGACAGAAGACGTCATGGCTGACATATTTGATCTCGATTATTATCGACAATGGCGGGCCCTAGTTCTATCATTTCAGTTCCATAATTGAAGATAATGGCGGGACCCATTACCTTTTGTTGGCTAATTCTTAGCCRTTCTTTTATCTAGTAGTAGATAATGGTAGGCCCCACTTCTACTTTTTCCTTGTATTTATAGTTGCTTAGATTTCATTTCTCAGTACGCAAATTTTTCAAGTTTCAGATTGTAACCTTACGCTTCCGTCCTTCGCTTTTGTAATCTATCTTTCTCAAAATAAAAGTAGTTGTAAATTCCTGTTTATCCCTCTTACTTGTCGATCCTGCTTATTTTGGTATCAGAGCCTAGAAAGCTCGTACTAGTTGATCGTGAAGAAACCCTTTATCAAGGTAATAATTTATTTCACTTGTTTATTTACTCTTAAAACGTTAGTCGCGTTTAGACCTGACGGTAAGTCCCTGAGTGAGGCTCGAATAGGTGTCTTGTAAAAGTCGTTGACTGTTGAAGAGAGTTTAATTCATGAGTGAGATAATTAGATCCTTGAGAAGAAATTCTTCTCTATCATCTTCATCCTCCCCTGTTTCTAATAGAAACAAAGAAGTAATTATTCATGAAAACTTAGATTATCATCTAAATAATTGGAAATTACCAAAATGAAAACCCAATGAGATTTATAAATCCAATTTCTCTTTTAAATCTGATTATATCATAAAAACAGTTGAAGAATCTATGCCTATTCTTCAAGGAAATAATACTTTCCAATTATTATCTGAAAAGCTTATTCAGCAGCATAAGCAAAAATAAAATTTTTTGCATTTAGGATTGGTTCAAATTGCTTTGAAGCCAACAACAAGATTATGTTTAAATACCTCTGCTTTAATTTGTCTTAGAGACAAACGGCATCTCAATTTTCAAGATTCTCTATTGGGAATAATAGAATCAAGTCTTTGTGATGGCCCAATATATTTTTCATGCTATCCAAATTTTACCCTATCATTAACTGATCCACATCTTATCCATGTATTATCTTTAGATATTAAATCTGAAGGTTATAAAATGCGTCCAGGATCAGGGCCTATAAACCTATTACGGTCTAATCATATTAGTTATGTCCCATTTAGTGTCATTTTGATCAAATTGACTCGAATAAAAGTAACAGACTCGTGTTATACCCATTAAGGTCCAAATGGACCCGTTAAGGAGCCTTAAGACCCATTCTAACTCAATTAGTCACATTAACGTCTAGTTACACTAAAT